ACAGTGCAGTCCAATGACCTCCAATCTGAGGACACTTCCTTGCAAACGTGAGAGGAACCATCTCATCCGAACACTAAAGCAAATGCTTTTCGTAGTTCACCAAACTTCTTATAGTAAAATAAGACCAGTGCAAAATTATATTGTCTCCCCCTGAGGACATCAGCTATCTAATACCAAGAATCTTGTTTTGTGGTTAAATTCTTCAGCCGGGGTCGGAATTCAGAACTTACCCACACAGTGGGTCCTCCCGTTGCCCATAAATCCGTAGTTGCAAAGACAGAACTTTTTCTCTCCACTTTGCTGGCAGGTGGCATGTTTATGGCAAGTGGCACAGAAGTCTGAAATTGAATCATACATCGTATATTTCAGGAAAAGAAAACTTCAACGACCCACATTGTGAGTAGTAGACATTTACAAGAGGCAACTAAAATAAAATAAAACAGGTTTTATTTTCATCCCTAAAAACTCTCAAAAGCTACTTGTTGCTCACAGAATGAAGTACAAATTCTTCTGCAAAGCAAATGACGCTCTTCACAATCGGATCGACTAACTCCTCCAGCTGCATGGTCCCCGCTCCGACCCCACCAGGGACTCTTGAGGCAGGAGGCAGGAGAGGCCAAGGACTCTTCCCCAGCACGTTCCTCACTATGATGCACCTGGCGATTGCCGTAATGTTATCTTTACCTGGACTATGATCCCTTCTTCACTGCACCTACTCGCAGCTCAAGACCCAAGTCAAATGTCATTCTCTCTGAAGCCTTCCTTCCCTCCGTTCTCTCATTCCCTAACGTTTTGTGTGTGTTTTGCTGTTGCGGTTACAAGTATACACAGCAAAACATACACCAATTCTACGCGCGCCATTTCATAACACCGATGATCGTCTGAGTGGTACAACCGTTCTCATCTTTCTCTTCTGGGCGGTCCCTCCATCATCAATATCAATGCACTGCCCCCCTCAGGTTTCTGCCTCATCTTTCAAGTTGCTTCTGTCAGGTGGGCCCCAGATGGACAATTCTTAAGAAAGCGAATGGCAAACCTTTTTCACTCGTTAGAGTGTTAAGATGACTCCAGGGGGTAGTTTGGGTGTACAGTTTGAAGACTGTCTCAGGGCAACTGTTTCCAGAATTCACCCAGCCTCCATGTCTCCAGAAGAGTAGAGTTCATTGGAAGTTGACATTCTGTTCTGAATTCTCTCCCCTTTTGATCAGGATTTTCTTGTAGAATCCTTGATCCACTTCCTTTGGTCTCATGGCAATGGAGGCAGTTGTTCATGGAGGCAATTAGTCACCCAT